TATATTCTGATCCAGGAGATCTGGGATCCCAGAAATCTACACTCATTAATATCACTTCAGATGATCCAGATACACAAGAAGCAATGATAAAGAAAACAGAATTTAGCAATGTGTGCATTATATTTTACTTAATCCTGCAAGCAATGCTAGAAGGTAAGTATTGCCATGTCAGCTTTAGAGATTATAAAACTGTTGCTGAAAAAACAATCAGCCAGACACAGTAGCTCATGCTTGCAATCCCAGCACTTTGGGAGGCCAAGGCAGGTGGATCACTTGAGGTCAGGAGTTTGAGACCAGCATGGCCAACATGGCAAAATCATGTTTCTACTAAAAATACAAAAAAAAAAAAAAATTAGCCAGGTAGAGTGGCGCATGCCTGTAATCCCAGCTACTTGGGAGGCTGAGGCAGGAGAATTGCTCGAACCCAGGTGGCAGAGGTTGCAGTGAGCCAAGATCGCGCCACTGCGCTTTAGCCTAGACAACAAACAGAGTGAGACCTTGTCTCAAACAAACAAACAAAAAACAAAAACAAACAAACAAAACACATGAATTGCCCAAAGGCACCCAGCTGAAATTTATGGCAGTCCAAGATTCAAACTCAAGTGTGTTTCTAACTAACTGTAAAAAACTGTAAAATATAGAAGAATGAAATTAAGTAAAACCCAATGCCCAGGGAATCCCAAAGAAAGAGAAATTTCATTCTGCTTTGAAGACCCAGAAAAGAGTCATGAAGCTGATGAACCAGAGGTTCAAAAGCAAAGGCATGAGGCGGTAAAAGAACGGCTTAAGTACCTGTAGATAGACTAGCGTGCCCCAGAGGGAACATGTCATGGAGGAAACAAGCCTGGGAAGAAGGACTACATCAGATTCCGAAGGTTTTGAAGGCCACAGTGGAGACAGAGGGCCTGGTGGCCTGGTTTTATGTGAGGATACTAAAAGGTTGAGGAGGTAGAGGTCATAATCTGATTTGTGTTTCTGGGAATTGCTGTGGAAGCATTGTAAACAGTGGGATGCAGATGAGAAGAAAATCAAGGCAGAACAAGAAGTAAAGAGGTTCCTATGATAATCCAGGTTTCAGAAGATGGATCCCTGATTTTGAAAGTAGAGAAAATAAATGGTAAATGTATAATAATTGAAGTTATTCCTGATGTTTATTATAAAAACAAAATGATTGCATTTAGATAATATATATAAATAGAAATTCTCATTTTTAATAAAGCAAAAGTCTAATTTAGATAAAATGAAGGATGAAAAATAAAGCCTAGTGGGTAATATATTCCAATGACTTCTCCATGTATGCTAATGCCTGATCCATACTGAATGTGGTAGCAATCCTGGAGAAAGAGACTTTATTAAAATGGCTGGGATTATTCAGACTCAAGCTCATTTCAAAATAAGAAGTTTGCCACGTCTTCCTCTGGTTTAATTTGGATGCCAAAGATTCTGAAACCCTATCCATTTAATTATTAAACACCTGTAATTTCTAAAGTATAATGAGAGCTATGGGAAATCCAAATACTAATAAGACCTATGTCGATATGTGTCCTTAAGTAGGTCACAAACAAAAGGATTAAAAGTAAATTCACATCCAAAAGGCTCAAGTATAGATGACAATAATATCATTAGTTCCCCACTGGAAAATCTACAGAATGTCTCAGTAAATATATGTATTTTTAAATATACATTGATGATGATTAGGGTATCTGTGGCCTGACATATATACCTCCTCTGGTCATTTTGGGAAGAGGGGAATCCCTGGTGTCAGTATCATTATCCAATTTCTTCTTCATCTGCTGTGTAATCTCCAAGGAACAGGAACTGGGTCAGTATTGTTTTCTCTGCACTTGGCCTAACCTAGCACAGTTAGGTTAAACTGCCATCCTTCAGCTGCATTAGATAATGATAATGAGAAACACTGTTCTACACCATCAGGTCCATGTTAAACAGCAATGCCTGCTAAATCTCCAAGCCTATACCCCTCCGCAGTTTACATATTGGCTCTTCTGACTTTGTATGTGGCTTGTCCTTGTTTTCCAGGCCTTCTACAATTATCATGTCCTGGAATTGCTTCAGATGCTGGTGACAGGAGGAGTAAGTTCTCAGCTGGAACAACATTTAGATAAGGATAAAGTCTATGGTGTGGCAGATAGCTGCACGACGCTCTTGTCTGGAAGAAACCGGTGTAAAATGGGGCTTCTGTCCTTACACCAAACCATTTTGTCAGACGTTAACGTGAGTCTACTCTTCTCAGAATTCAGTTTTTCACTTCCTTTCCTCTCTGAGCTTCTGAAAATGGTCCAGGCTATTTGGGTTCATAGATGTCCCACAGCACAGAAATGATAACAATAAAAATAACAAAAAAACGAATACAAGTTTATATTATTCATAGAGTATTTTACAAATCACAGTGTGTTCATATGTTATATTTATTTTTTATAATAATTATGAGAAGTAGATAATGCAGTTGTTATTATCCCCATCTTCTAGATAAATAACCTGAATCTACAGGGAGTATCAGAGAGGCCTGGCAACTTTGTACCTTGACAAGGGTATTCATAATAATTATAACAGCTAATGTTTATTGAGTATTTTCTCTGTGCTTGTCTTTTTTAGTATTTTTTCCACTTAATCTGTCCATGGATTTATATGGTAGGCATTATTATTAATTCTGTTTAACAGATCAAGAAACTGGAGCTCAGAGAAGCAAGGACTTGCCAGAGACCACATTGTCAATCAGTGTCAGAGCAGGGACCCAGCTACAGCAGTTTGACCCCGGGCCTGCCTACTCTCCCCATACTTAAAATGCTAAAGAAATCTGATAAGGTCAGCTGAAATCAGGCAGAAGACTTTTGTACATGGGTCTAAGAATCTGGCTGCGCTATCCAGTGGAAAATACTTGCATTTTCTTAGCCAAGGGAGCTGATGAACAGTAGATTACAGCAAGGGAGAAGATAATAATTCTGGAAAATTCCAACAGGGCATCCAGGCATTTGGGAATCACAGTAGGGTCTAGCAAAGAAATGAGAAATCTACGTGGTGCCTTCTGGTTTGGTTTTAATTGGCATTGCATTCAGTTGTCCAGTGTTAACTGCTAGGGGCAGGCTTTTCCAAGGAAACATCTTTTGTTGATTCAGAGGACATTAGCAAAACCCCTGGGTAGAACACTATACCTGGTGCATGTCGATGTGTGCTGCCAAAAGGGGCAAGACCCATGTTCTGTGCATTAGCATTTCAGGTGTGAACTACGTTCCAGAAGTTCCTTCAATGTAGTCTGGTCCCTTACATTTCCGTAGTCCTGGGTTGCTCACCTACAGGTGAACTTGTAAGTGTATATAAGCCCAGGAAACTGTTGCTAGCAACTTCCTGTTGGCATCAAAGAGGATGGTAGACTTGTCCCCACTCCTCTCCCTCCTCTCTCCATTTATGCCATGTCCTCCCTTTGTTTTTTATCCTGAGGAATTACAGAACTGGATGGATTGATCTCTTTTGACCTTGCTGAGCCCATTTACTGCTGCAGGGGCTTGAAATTGTTGTCTATTCATAATGATCTTGTTGGGTATAGCCTGAGAATAAGGTCCAGATGAGTATTTGGGACTGGGATCTGTTTTACAGTAGGCTAAGATGACTCTCAAGAGGTCATTTAACATCCCAACTCATTATATATCTCAAAAGCTCCATTTTCCAATCTGTGGCTCATTGTTAATTCATAGTGGTTACCAGAATGGCAATGGTAATAAGGACAAGCACAACAGTATGTCACACCACACCCACCAGAAGCTCTTGAAAGAGCCAGAATGATAAAAACAATCGCTGGGATTAGAGTTTCAGAACTAATCATTCTCTTAATTACCTATCCACCTGGCAGTGCTGCCACAAAGATATTAGGAAATGACTTTCCAAGCTTCTACTACGAGGTAAAGCAAACGACACTCCAGTGAGTGCTTATAATTGCTTGAGCAAAGTGCCCAGCAGACATATTTTTGTCTCTTCTCTCCCCAGCCAAGAAACACCTTTGGACAACTGTTCTGTGGCTCATTAGATCTGTTTGGAATCCTGTGTGTTGGCTTATACCGAATAATTGATGAAGAGGAGCTCAACCCAGAAAACAAAAGGGAAGTGTGCTAGATTAGAAAGCACCATCCAACCATTCAAGCATAAGAACCAAAACTACTTTATTCAATGTGAAAGAGAATTCCAGAGCTCAGGGTCCATAGTTGCAAGGAAGGGTGCATGGGAAATAAAGAACTATGTAAGAATAAGAAGGAATGGGTATAAACAAGAGGGACCTGAATAATTAGGGTCCAATTAATATTGGCCATGTAAGAAGAATGGAGTCTCTGTCCCCTAGTGAAAATTGAAATGTGGAGCTAGATTTTAAATCAGCTCATTTCAGTTTTGTAACTTACTCCTCATCCATGTCTGTACAACTTTCTAAAGCTGAACGCCACTATCCACATTTGAAAGATGTACTTGTTTTCTGCTGGATTCATTGTGTAAATATTGATTGAGATCTACTTTGCTAGCCATGATGCTTTTTACATATAAATCATAGGGGTGATATGTTCGACTTTCAATTTAAAGAAAGACCACTCTGACAGCCCTGAGTAAGATAGAAATGTATGTGGAGGGGAAAGGGAAAGGAGAGGTTACAGTCTAGAGACAACACAATCGTGTATGCCCAGACTAAGATCTTCACAGTGGGAATGGACAGGATTCAGTAGGGAAGTAGAAACTGAAAGGAATAGAGTGGAAATAGATCTATGGAACCTGTTCCTGGAGAAAGGAGAAGGAAGCCAAATTACTCAAAGTGGAGCGGTCTTGAATAGAAAATAACAGCAATGATTTTTTTGGCCCACAGAAGAAAAGGAGGAAAAGAAGAGATGCCAAGGCAGATCTAGCTCTAGGTGAGGGCTGTGTTTATGGGAATTTTTATTTAGCACTAGGATTTCTCAGTGCACAGTCATTGCTGAGAGAAAGATGGAAGAAATATTGTCAGGAGTTGAGAAAGGAGTCAATGTTTAGATTAACTGCTGAGAGGAGTGGAAGAGGAAGCTTATTGTGGATTTGTGAAGAAATCCTAGACCATACAGTAAAAGAAGAAAGATTGGAAATCTCAATGCATTGAATAGTGGATGTACTCAGAGTTAAGGGAGTGAGAGAGAAAGTATGATGAGAAGTTGTAGTCAGCAGTGATTTATTGAAATGTAACATTTTAGAAGTGGAACGATGTTAGGAATTAAAACAGCTAGGACATGGCCAGGAAAGTGGTTTGGAGGTAAAGATCATTGGGTACTGGAAGTCATAGCAATGTGTCTGAATGCTGGAGTTGTAAACCACATAGACACTGCAGGCATGTAAAAAGATAGCTGCACTAAAATTTGAAAGGAAGAGCATGTCAAGTGCCAAATGACAAAATAAGCGTGGAGGTCTACAGATGACTCTGATGGATGGGGAAGGAAGGTGCCATGGCTTTATAGCACCCACCACCAAGACAATGGGGGAGGACTGATGTTCTGGAAATAGCTCTCTCTCTTCCTCTCTGCCTGAACTCCACTCCTCCCCGAAACACCTCCGTATAGCCCTTGCAACATGATAACTGGGAAAATATACAGCTTATATTAATACTTGACCTCAGGGGGAAAATTGATATTTTTGTTTTAAACAGAATATGTGATCTTGTTCAGCACATTTTTTTTAAGAATAGAACTGAGGTTACAGAGGACTCAGTGGGAAAGATAAAAGTAGGTAGGTCGTTCAGTGAAGGAAGTTCAGTGGTACCTTGAGATCTATGCTAGGAAAGAGGTGATCATTTCAGGCACTAGTGAGGCAATGCGGGATGAAAGTCATACAAGGCTACCCTGCCTCAATGTTCCCACATAAGCACTGTTGCACTCATTACTTCAACTCACATTTTTGGGCATTTGCTGTGTACCTGATGCTGTGTTAAGGCTTCTGGGTATTCTTTAGGGTTCATTGACATTCGCTATTTGCTTGCCAGTCAGGTTTCAAATGAAACTGTTTTTTTCTAATGCTTTTCTCCATTGGCCAGGCTACATTCTGTGTGAAAGTTGGTGGCATAAGCATTAGGTTAGAGTAGGTCTAAGTCAGGATGAAAATACCTGAAATATATGTCATCTTTCTGTTGACAAAGCTTGGCTACGAGGTCAATATTGTGCCAGCTGAATTAATGAGTATAGTGTCTTTTAAAAGCAAATAGACCTGTTTTTAAGGCCATTAGACATCTGTCAGTCCAAACCACAGTCTTCCCCCTCTTCCCACTCGAACAAAAGATGAGTGCAGCAAGGCCCAGAGAGGGAGGACACCATGCCCAGAGTCAGAAGTGGTTGGGTTCAGAGGCAGGGATGAAAGCCAGCCCCCTCATTCCTACTCCAGAACCTCTCCTCTTGCACTGTGCTACAGGAGTAAGTACTAAATAGATATTTACTATTAATCAGAAACCCATGAAGCAAAGCAAAACAAAAACGTTTCCTCTTTGCACCCAGCAAAATGACCTCTTTATTTGGGTCACTGCCTGTCACCACACTGGCCAGCTGCAGAGGCTCAGCATTTATCTTTGACTTGTCTTACAGGTTTGTGATCACCCGGCCAGCCAATGAGTTCAAGCTGCTGCCCTCAGATCTTGTGTTTTGTGCCATACCCTTCAGCACTGCTTGTTATAAAAGGAATGAAGAGTTCTCATCACAAAAGTCATATGAAATTATAAAAGAAGCATCACAGACAACAGAGACACATTCAGACACAAATTTTCCTCCCACCATTTATTCAGTTGATGAGACATTGTATTCACCAGTCTATTCTTACCCGTCAAGAACTAACTCCGTCTCTTCTGCTAAGCAAACAGCACGGAGTCAGATTAGAACAAACAGTTCTATAACATCCCAGATACCTTTAGGTGACAATGCAAAAGAAAATGGAAAGAAAATCTCAGACGAGATTTCTGATGAGGACCCCTTTGCATATTCAGAGCCACTATAGACCTGCCCATATTCTTCACGTGCTCTTAACTTGCTGCTTACAAATCATCTCCCGAGATGCTAACTTTGAACAAAGAAAATAAAAATGGAAGCATGTCATTTTTCTACCCATTGCTTAGTGGTTCATGAAGGCCACACTGTTTCAGATGAGACAAAAGTCTAATCCCACTGGATCTTGTGTGATAAATAAAGAAATATATGATCAATGCTTCTGTAAGGAAAGTTCATTGCTCCGTTTCCCTTGAGTAGAAAATATGTTAATTTGTGCTGCATTAAGGAAGTCCTCCAGTTCTTGCTGGATTCCCCAGATGAGGAAATACAGGTAATCAAGATAAAAATGAGAATTACTCAGACGTAGGAAAGAAGTAAAGAGACCCCCTTCAATCAAGAATCATACATTTTATTTTATCCCAGAACAGGCAAACAGTAAACTAGTATATATTTCCCTCTTTCTCTCCCCATCATATTTTTTGTTATTCCATTGTATTTTTTTAAGGTTGTTAAAATATTTGTTTTTTATTTATTTTATTTTATTATTATTACACTTTAAGTTCTAGGGTACATGTGCATAACATGCAGGTTTGTTACATATGTATACGTGTGCCATGTTGGCGTGCTGCACCCATCAACTC